GCTTTGGAATCCTCGTCGTAAGTGAGCGGCCGGTTGGTCGGGCAGCCACACGTCCGCTCGTTCTCCAGGCCAAGAGCGGAGTGAATCATCGCTGGATGATTCCCCTGACTTCTCCTGGATCCGCGAAATCTTCCGAGTGCCCGCCAAGAATTTGTTCTCTGGTCAGACAAGACGGCCGCAAAATAAGTAAATAATTAGCAGAATCGGGAATCTCCACTACTTCTCGCGGTCCGTCGATATTGAGGAAGACTTTCTCGAAATCGGAGGTATTGAAACGAATTCCACGTTTCTCAGGGCGTTCCGTCTCAAACGACTATGAGAGCCTTCCGGCCAGCGCGCGCACCGGTGAGAGGCTCCCCCAGCTCGAGTCACAGCAATGTTGTAAATAGTACGATAAGGAATGCTTTGATTTCTTTTCAATGACTTCTCTGGAAGCAACGACGCAACCGGTCAGACGACAGTTGGGAACGACGCCCTATGGAATCCGGCGGACCGAGGCGTGAAATCACGTCGATGCCAAGGAAGCAGATCATCCATTACCCACTAGGCTCTAATTCATTCGATGGCTACCTCATCCGACGATCCGGAATACATGATTATTCAGATTCATGAACGGTCACATGATATCGAAACCGGTCAATTTGAGCAGCATGTGGTCTCTCATGAAGATCAGACTCACCCAAACGAAAGGACCGCAACACAAAAGACCGGATGCGAAAGGAAACCACGTTTTCGATGAATCAAAGTCATCAGATTCACCGGATTGACTGTCTTCCCGATCCATGACGACAAATTAGAAAACGCTGCCCCACCGAACTCCAAGCTCTTCTTCACTGAGCTCGAGCTGGTCGCCGGATTCAGTGAGCATCCGAGGAATCGGACCACGAGCGAGTCCGAGAACGCAGCAACGTCACGGGAGGCGGGGTTCGGACAACGTATTAGACAGGAGACAGAATTTTTGAGAATTTCACTCAATCTCGAACGGACGCCACGCATCGGCAACGCTCGCAGAATATTCACGCAGGAAGGAAGCCGTGGAAACGCTCCGCCATGAGTTTGGTTTCGGTGATGCTGATGGCACTAAGTTCGACGTTTCGACATGTCATTGTTGCTCTCAGTACTGAGTCAGTCTTGGTCGATAGAGAAGCTCCCCGTGGAAGTCTCTGTGAGAAGAAGCACATCTGAACCGTTTACGCGAAACAAGCTGGCGCTAGACATTCGTTTGTGCACTCGGCTGGCTACACGTCAGTGCTCACTCAGAAGGAGCATAAAATATATTCTATTGCTCGACATCGAATGGATGGAATACGAGCTCCGGATCATGCAGCGAACGTTCCGTTCCCGAACGAAAACGCCAGCGCCGCCGCCGACACCGACGACGATCGTTTCAAAGGAACGCCTTCGAACATCTTTCAGAACGCCTCAGTGCGGCCGAGGTTTGGTGTGAAAAGCCGATCGTGGACGTTTGTTCGGATTCGCGGAGTTAAATTCAAGTAAACGACTCGTTGAAGACCATGGTTCACTTCGATTGAGCGGACCCGATAATCCGATCGACCGAATGACCGAGGGTCGACAGAGCTCCTGGAACGGCCGACAAAACGGCGAGCACCTGGATCGCTACTCGCGGAGGAAGAAAGAGCGCCGACTCGAATGGGAAACGGCGCCGCTCCTGAGCCGCAGCAATCGAGGATCCACCAAATTGGCTGTTTGGTAAGCATTCGAGCAGATAAATCCGGAACCTCAAATGGTGCGAATTAGTTGTTCCCTTCCCGTGGAATAGGGGGTCGAAAGGAGATTCTCGCGATTCGGGTATTCTCGTGCACCGAACCGCGAAAGCTCACTCCCGCATTCCAGACTTCGCCGGGCTCGTCTCTCGCCAAGTCTTCTCTAAGGGCCTCTTCCACGGGAACTCGGGACCGAGATCTTTTCTCGAAGCCGCTGCTCACTCAGGGAGAAATCCCCGAGGGCCGCATCCTCCCTCTTCGCTCTCCTTGACCTTCCACATACGTCAAGCAACGGAAGCACAACATTATTCCGAGAGTGAGCTTCCGCGTGGAGTCCGGTCCTAGTGGAGCGATTCGAGGCGCGGAAAACAGTTTCCCAACCCAGGCGGCTCGGCAGGATGTGCGATTCGAGTGTTCCTTGGTAGGACAGCATCAACGAGAACGTCAACAATATCGACCACAGCGAAGGTCACGCAATGGAATCGGATAGCGGAATGAGAAGAGGCTCATTAACTTCAAGTGAAGCCGACGTTGCAAAATCGATCTTGTCGATCATCCCAACGCCCCATTTCCCCGACTTGACCGTCGTGGGGGCCTCTGTGGACCGGAAAATTTCGATCGAGCATCCTGATCCGGCTTTCATCTAGGAACGAAGCTGTAGGCTGGAGATGCTCCGGTGAGGCTCTTAGCGAGAATCGAAAGGGTCCGAAGAGCACGAACGATCGAAAATCGAAACTCAACGAATGTCGAGTTCCCTCCGACGTGCTCCGACCAGACGAGGCTGCCACTCGCATCCAGAGCAAGATCTCATCGAGCGCACATTCGCCCGAGCATCTCGACGGGAATCAGCAACACGTCAAGGCGCGAACGATCTCCAAACGAGAGATTCGCGCGAGACGGAAAGATGACAGCGCTAGCTACAAAGCGGTACGATAAGAGCTCCGGAACAGCTGTCGCCTATTCAAGAAAAAATTGTACACAAACCATATCAGCGTTATCAATCGGGTTCGTCGTCGGTTGAGCGTCAGACGCGATTGCATCGCCACCGTACATGCTTCCAGAAAGCACAATAGGTCAGTTGTCAAGTAACACGAATGATTGAACCAGTGGCATCGAAGCAGCTACCGGTACCCTGGCCGGACGACCTGGGCGACGATGTTCGTTGATCAGCCTGACACGCTACATCTAACGGTGCAATTGAAGCACATAGCCATGGTGTCTGTCCGTGAGCCTTGCCAGTCTATCTGTACGCCCGTCCGCCTGCCTGCCTGACGGTGGCGTCGCCGTCACCAATGCTGTAGACGTCGCGTTGTCGTCGACGTCGGCTCGACTACGGCGTGCCGAGGAATCCACTATTGCTGCTCGTAGTGAGAACCCATTTGGATAGTCGACCTCTCCGTGATGCGTAATGAGTCGTTCGTCGTTTCTGAAGCGAATCATATCTACGCTGACATCAGTATTATTATTAATGCGAACCTCTTGACAACAATCTAACGACTCCACTCGTGCCGAACGAGGGAGTTTACGCTCGCTGCACCGAGTTCGAATTATTCCTGACGGAACTCTCTGAATGTCCGGAGCCGACCGTGAATTCACTTTTTCCCCTCTTCGGCGCCGTACGCTACCGTATGACAGCGGTGTTTTATGGTCACGAACATGTGGAAAGCACCCACTCAGAACAGGAATACGACACCGACTACACGCAGTTGGACCAGCGTCGTCGCAAATACGCCTTGTCAAGAGAAAACTCCCATCAGCGAAAAGTGCCAAATGTCGCATCGACTGTTACTCGTATCGTGACATCGGAGCTCGATAGTTACCAGACACTACGCAAGCGAAGCTATGGTACCAATCCCCGGTCTACGTGGGACACGAATCGAGTACATCATTGCAGACTTTTCCACAAATCATATCCGAGCATGTTCCGATTCCGAGGCTATAAAGAGCTATCGTGGTGGTCGTCGCTCGCACGGACTCGCATGACACCTCGGGTGTCCGCCCGATCAGTCTCTCTCGTCCGAGCGCTCGGAGCAACAGGTGATCGCGAATCACAACCGCGAATCTCCACTCTCCTTTCGCTATCGAATCAGCAAAAGCCAACATTTTGGGGCGAAGTTTCCGCACCGTGTTTCAAACTTACACGTTGGAGCTCGAAGCCGAACGGCTTCTCCGCGAACACACTTCACTATAGTCAATCACTGCGATCGATGGGATCGTGCAATCTTGTGCAACTGGGGCGATAACTCATTGCAGCTGCCCGCGAAATGCGATTTCACGACGTGCCACTTAGTCCCATTGTTTGCTTAGCTGAACTAGCCAACATGTTTTGGCGGACAACCGTCGATGAGCGAACCACCACACAAGTGCCACAAACGAACCAAGCGGTGAGGGTGAGGCGAGATGCGCCCGGCGCGTATTTCGACAAAACGCTCGCGACGCGTTGTGACCGTTACACTGAGATTTGTGAACGCTTGACTCATTGAGGCCCGGTAGTGGAAGGAACGGAAACTTATCGTGACCATGAATCGGAGAAGAATCTACACCAGTCGAGTGCGGCTCTCCATTCCGCTCCGACTCTCCATTGCCGAAAAGCTTTTCAAGGGACTCGCGGGAGAACTACATCGCGGAAGCCTCGCAGGAGAGAATTTCGCAAATGGGTGCGAGTGGCGTTCTCATGGACCTGGCAACATAAGGTTCGGGAGATGCGAGTCATCAGAACTTTCGCTCTCCGTACAAAGTCTATTCGGGTTCCCGGTTGCGAGAAGGGGGTTCTCCGCGCGAATTTCGGGATCTGTCTTCCTAAGGTTGTGGACCGCTTGGGGAACAGAGAATGGATGGAGGTTGAATACATGTCTCTCTGAGCGTCGATTCGTCCGAAAGGTCTCTTCCCCCCGACACAAATCGCTCCGCGCACAGAAGAGGAGCCCAGGAAAGCGTTTTTGACGTTTGGCTCCTTCTTTCATGCTTGTGGGACTTTCGTGGTGATTTTCCGGGCAACAACCCTGTTGGGTTGTATATCTTGGATTTGAAAGGCTGGGTTCTGACCAAAGATGGACAGTCGGTCCGAGGCCCTCTCGCTGAAAATATGAATGACACGAGAGTACTCTGATGCTCGGAGTTCACCGTCGCAGTCTCCCTGTCGTCGACTATAGGGTCGACGTCCCACAGCACGCTTTGACTGACCATTGGCCAAATCACTGGGAGTCTTCAATTAGGAGAGGGTAACTAACCGCGAGATTCTGGAAAGGAACCGTCCGCGGTTATGGTTACATCGGGATGCTCACTTTACAATCATCGTTTTGCCGCTTCAATCTTGTCGGACGTTCGAGAAGCAAACTCGAAAAATACTTCAGTTTCCAAGACATGAGCCTGGAAACAGCCAAGAAATTGGCTGCCACTTCGGCCGTCGACGACAACGTCAAGGTAGGCCGGTACAATAGTTTCGCGCACACATTCGAACCTCTGACAGTTTCGAGTTCATGGAGTGCGAAGCTGTCGGTATCTCGTAAAACTCGGTGCCGGAGTGACCAAGCAGAAAAAAGGACGCGAAATCCTTGATATTCGTGGGTCAGGAAACTCAAAGTAACGGATGCGATGATCCTCGCTGATACATTGTCAGAGAGCGATTGCAGACTGCTTATTTTGACGCTTGCGACGCTAACCACTCGCCGAGAGCGAGCACAACGATACGGACGATCGTTTATCTAGCCAATATCTATTCGAGGACATGGTCCGAAGGTTATCTCGATCCCTGATAGAATGACTGTACTTTTCTCTCTGAATTAGGAGCTCACGAGCAATGCTCGGAAATAGGGGGAGTCAATCCCGCGAAAGGACCCAGCCACCGTCCCTCACCGGGAGGCTCTGTATCTCGTCAGCGGGATACTGTCGAGCCGGAGGAATACAATTCTTTCGTCGGTAAGATGTCCGAGACCGAGACGGTGTCTCTGTTGCCGTCCCGGAAGAAATTTCCGACGTTCCTTCAAGTGGCGACGCGACGTTGTCGTCTACGCAAGAGACATGGCGAGCGGTCGCCAAACAAGTGTCGGCTTGACAGTTCGAAGATGAAGCCCCGTCTTCTTCGAGGCTGGCTCCCGTTTGCAAAAATGCTCTGCGCCGCGATACACTTCGCTAACCACAGTTTTTACCCGATATCTGATCGATCTTTGTAGCTCCGGATCAACTGAGAAGCGGAGTAATAGTCTGTTGTACCGCGCAGCCGGTTTCCCGTTTGGCGGTTGCTCCCATCGGTCGCGGGCAGTCGACAGAGCACAGATAGTATATCTTTGACTCCATCGGCAGCCACTCTGTTTTGGTTAGGTCCAACTTACGAGGAAACTCTTGCTCCGCTTAATACGGGGTTGAGGTCTTCTGGCGGTGTCCGATGAGGCTACTTCTTCGGTCTTCCCTCGAAGACTTGAGCGAGCCCATCCTTTCTCTACCATTTTGGCCGCGGTTGGACGGCTTCCACCGTTTTTCTGGAAAGTTAAAAAACATTAGACTCGCGTGATTCTGATTTCCGTCGGGACTCTCTCATGTTCCGCAGGATCAGTGCACGGAGTCTCCAGGGAAGACGGGCGCCATCTCCGGCTATTCGCGCCTGAATCCTAATTTAGGCTTCGGTCTCTGGGGAGGAGCATGACTGGGATATTGTGGGACAAAATTCCGTTCATCGCGAGGGATCATCGAAGAGACCCTCCCGAGTGAGGAAGCTTTCTGACTTCCCTCTCTCCGATAATAATCCGATGTCCTCTCCAGGGAGACACTTCCCTGCGGAGCTCTCGCGGGATTCACACGATCAGTCCCCTGGAGCTCTCTAACCTCATGGCGATCGTTCCCAAATTGATCCCTCGGTGCTCGTTCCTCTCGGTGCCTCGCGCCTCGGTTGAAAATTCTGATGAACGCATCGATCATCTCTTCCCGGGAATCTTATCATTCATCCGGACTTTTTGTTCGATAGCAACCACTGCACATTCGATGAATTTGCCATCGAATCAAGTCTTCGCGGCTTGAGAAGCTCCCGGCGATCGAGTGTATCAAGCCGTCGCCACTCACATTCCTTGCGTGAGCACACACTCGGGGAAAAGAAACCATTTTATGATCGGTTTGCGGTGAGACGAGACCAGACTCGATTCCCTCCTCAATGGGATCCTATCTCAGCCGATTCTCGGATAGAATAGTCGAATAAATCCGCCATCTCTACGAACGGGGACGCACGGAGTGCTTGTCTCCGTTATGGAAGTTACGGCTCTTCTTACGTCGAAATTACCTACGCCGAGGAACAGAATATCAGCATCCCGTCAGACCGATCGTGGCCGTCCCGAAATAGGGTAGCATTTAAAACGGGAGCCGGTAGCTTGTTTCCATTATGGGTGACGAGAGCCAGGAGAGTCCATCCAATCGAAACGTAACGATAGAAAAACGTATTCGCGAAACGGACGGAAAAGACGGCATCACAAAAATGTAGCGCTTGATTCCATTTCGTCTTTCGCTCCATTCTGTCCGTTCGTTCGCTGATGACGGCTGCGACAAGCGTGTTCTATCAAAACGTCGACAGCTCAGGGTTCAATCAGATGCGAGCAAACCACTCAACCACGCGCTGACTGAGTGACTTCATTATGGACGAACTTTAGGTTCGTACTGTCTCAGCGCCGGTGGGGCGGGCGTTTGAGCTGTCGAACCGTAAGACGTCGAAGCCAGAAAGTCTTGTCGTGAGCAATGTTCTTCACTTATGACCCCATTTACAGAATGGATGCTGGGTGGAAAAAAAGCGGCGCCGATGTTTCGCTCGAGGCGAGCGGGCAGAATGTGGACTCGCTCTCATGTTCTCACCGAGTCGCTCATGACAGTCACCGACAAAATGAGGACTGTTTCGTTGAAACGAAAATTTTCAGAAGCCGATTCAGACACGAGCATACGTGACAACGCCCTCCCGGGCCCCCGCGCGACCAATTCTCATCTTTTCTGTCTCCACTTGAAATCAGTCGAATCCGGCACACTGTGGAAGCTTGAACGAAAGTCTCCTAGATTTGCCGGACTGTTCGAATCTCCCTTTTCGTCGAGGAATTTCTCCTGAAAACGCGGAACCGAAAATCCTATGGATCGCCGTAGAGAGAACCTCGTCGGCTCAGATGCACCGCAAGGTCCTTAAAAGGATATCGAACGCAACTTGACCGCTTCATGAAAAGACGAGAAAAAACGTGGAGTGCCTACTAAACGCGTCCGACTCATGCCCATGTTCGGAATCGAACTTGCGGCCGCCATCCACGGGGAGCGAGCGAGTGGACGAATAGATGGCAAGAACCTATCGAACGGACGCTGGCAAGTGGACGATGGTAAGCGATGCGAGAGGCCACAACTCAACGGAGCCTCCCATGCGAAAAAGCCCCGAAAACGTGTTTGTCTTTGCGAGCGAGCTTAGCTTGATCTTTTTGTCACTTGACCGCCTTGCTCGAGTTCGGTTTGTTCGAATGAATCGAAATCCTGAGCCCCGCGATGTTTTCGCGACTACACAAATCATTTTGAGGGATCCCCCACACCGTGTCGACTCAAAGACTCAATGAGTATTTTCCGGGCGAAGCGAAACTTGACCCGGGGCACCAACCCCTTTGCCCAACATTTCGAAGCCCTAACATTGGAGTCGAATAATGGATCGGTCCGGGCTTCTGGTACCCAGCGACTTTCATACGGTTCTGCTGAGAATTCAGTCGAGAATCTTGCTGCGAGCGACCATCGATCAATCTGTCGATCTAACGGAGGACTGGTAAATTTTTCGAGTGGAACAAACTCATTTGCGCGCCGCCGTAAACCTACATCGCAGGAGCATAACACGGCCGTGCCTCCCGAAGTCCATCCGAGCTGGCGACCCACCGATCGAATCAGTTATATTATCTGGTAATTTGAGCAGTTCTGTGGAGTGGAAGAAAGTGGTATATCCTTGCTGTGGGTCGATGGAATCAGGGGACGATTCTCGTTCATAAGGGACTTTCGAGAAGCTGCTGCTGCCACCTACGGGAGCAAGCAAATGTTTCGATCCGAGTTCTTCCTAGCGAGAGGGGCTCGACGATGAACGGAGCGAGAGGAGTCTCGAGATTCTAGTCGAGGCAATGCAAGAATTGTTCTCTCCCTGTACTCCATTTGCGCGGATCATCAGTGGAATATTCGGGAAAGCTAACGAGACCATCGTGGAGAAAATCATGGATGTGTTCGGGCTTTCTACGCCAGGTGCTCGCATGAAGAGGTTCGTGTTCGGAAGTCCGCCCCTTTCTGACCATCGAGCAACAGACAAGAAGCGCCGCGAATACTCTGCGTGTATGCTGCCAAGCACTTCGTGCAATGCCGAATGAATGAGCAAACTGAAGATGGACCTTGGCTTTGTGTAGAGCCTCCCTCGCGAAATTCGAATGGACGGATCCGACCCCGGATAGAATTCGAATTTTTCTGCTCCACTCGATTATTCAGTCAAGTTCCTCCCGGAGAAGGAAGTGCAGTCCTAAATGCATGAAGTGCTTGCGGTGGATTCATTTTCGCCTTTACACCTTCTATTACGGCTTCTGAGAGTCAGTCCGGGTCGCAGATAAAATTCGGACCGCCGATGATCAGTCGCTTCTTCGTTCCCTCCGCTGATTCAATTCCGTGATCCGTACGTTCCCGATCGACCCTTAGCCCCGGCGAAGATCGTCGGCCTTCTGCGTGAATCGCTGATACAGGCGGGCAGGCACACAAACATACTCAATGGCGTTATGCAACGCTGTCAATCGTGGTGCGTTTTTCCTCTTATACAGCGGCGACAGCGATTCAGCTGTCTGAGACTCAAACCGCTGGCTAACCATCAGGGGCACCGCAGAAACCTCGTCATATTGGTGGAAGCGTCCACTATGCCGGTCATTCGTTGTCAGCGAATAACGAGCTGTACCACATTGAACAGGCAATTTCCCTTGCTTGGTGGCACCCCGGTCTATGACGTTGCTGATTTTTGACGACGTCGCTTTTCTCAGCGATTTTTCGTTCCCTTGTCGACGGGGTTTTGTTGAACAGCGACTCAAAGTAGCGATTCGTTCGAGCTAGATGATTGGTTGTTCAATGGGTCGGTGCCTGCTCAGCTGGAGTCGAGCGTTCGTAGTAGTATCGGCTTGTACCTTCGAAATGTATGGGGTCACATTAAGCACAAATCCCGTTGTACGATTTCTCTGGAGCGATCCAGAGCTATCAGTTTCGAAAGATGTATCTCCGCGAAATGAGCCATTTTGTTCGAGAGAGCGATCTTCGGCCAGATGCATCGATAGATTTCAGCTTTTCCTCACAGATATTTTTTTCCCGATGATGCAGAATCAGGATTCGGGCATAATACAAGCTCCACTGGGAAGTTCCCATCCATTTCCGAACGCTCTATCGGTTTGCAAATGCGGGTCGAACGTTCCGTCTCAACGTGGAAATGCGACCCTCTACGCTGAAGTCGGAATCTTTCTGTGCACAGGAGAGTAATTTGAGCTCGTTCCGCGGTCCAATGGATACAACAACGCGAACCAGTTCAACGTAATTGCTCCAAAATTCTCCGACTTGTCCGCGCCAACCCTTCGAAATTGTCCCGAAGTGGGATCGGGTCCGCCGCTGGTGACATCGGTTGGTAACCGAGATAAGAGACAGGGAACCAAGAAGCAATCCGTCGATCGTACTCTCTGGGATAGAGGTCGGATCGTCTGGTGTTCATGTCTGTCGAGGAGCGAATGTTCGAGTTCCGCAAACCCCGCGGGCAGGTTCTACATACCGTAGTCTTGGAGAAAATCAGAATCGAATATTTGGCCGATACTCTCCACGAGCGGAAATCCGCGCCAAGGAGCTTACAGTCACCGCTCAACGTGGTCGAGCAGTTGGCAGGTCTGATCGCTTACATCAGGCAGATCGTCATCGATGTCTTATCGAAGTATATACTCCTCTGCCCACACAGCGACAATCTGTGATTAGCTTGATGGCTTTCGGGCTGTATTTATCGCGTGAGGGTTTCGCGAGACCTCGATGTCTCGTCAGCATGCTGTTCCAGCAGCACCCTAGGAGGAGCATCGGATTGGTATGAGTCTGATTCAATCGAAGACGCTCGCTAGCTACGAGACAAAGGGGCTGACTGTTTCTGTAAGTTTCTCAGCCGTGAGTCTCGTTGCCGAATTTCTCGCGAGACAGCTGTAGAACGTCTCAAGCACGCGGAATAACATCATTGTTCTCCCTCAGCTCCCCGCCGGCAGCGCTTATGTAAATTCTGAAGCGGGTAGACAAAAGTGAGCGAATTCGCGGACAATTCCTCGAGACGGAGTGATTCCCTCGCGCTGTCTCTGATTCCTCCAGAATTTTTGTTACCCCGTATCCGGAGACCGAATCATACTCGTTCTGTCTCGGTCACGATGATTGTACGTGGCATCGACTGTCTCTTGATCCCTTTCCGATGCGTGATTTGTTGACACTCGTCTTTTTTATTCGGCGGATTTTTTGGCTGGGCAATGCGGTACATGGACGCTTGGGGAAAATGCCATGACATAGAAAATTTGGGCTTCTCGGAAGAGCTCGTGTATGTGGGTGACATATCGATGATTCGAAGCAGAGAATTTCTCTTGGTCCCCTCTCCGACGGATATTTTGCGATGGCTCGCTGCGAAGGCGATCGGGAGACACTGGAGGAAAAATTTCGGCTTCCCGATGAAATTCGAGTCTAATATAGATTCGACAGGGTCGCAGTATTTTCTCGATGGAATTCAGGAAGCTCCCTGGACGATCCGAACCAATTGACCGAATGGGCGGGATTCTCCTTAATGATTGGAAACTTTGCCACATCTGTTGATGCCGTTTGTCAAATGAGAGAAACGTCTGAACGCCGTATCGAAGGACGAGAGAACCAATTGACACCCGTCGTTTGTGAAAGCTGTCGATGTCTGCCCGGAAGATGGGAGGGAGCTGCCATTCAGTCGATTCTCCCTCTGATCCAAGTCCGAAAAGAGCCCGGATCGAAAAAGACGTATAAATCACAGCGGCCACAAGCATCGCTGACATCTTCATAGATGCCTAATTACACGGCGACCTTCGCGGGAGCATCGTTCGGGGCTTTTTCCTCGGTGATTGCGTCCTCAAAAAGGTTGATCAGGTCTCCTCTGATGTTTACGCCCCTTTCTGGCTTCTCCCTCTCGGTCAATCCAGACGCGACATTGCAAACTCCGCGACCGGTCCATTGCATCAGATAGTTTTCAGCTGAGCGGGACATGATAAACCTCAACGTTGTGGACCGTCTGATAGATTGCGGTGTACTCCGGCATCAAGATTTGAACTGCCCGAGCGATTTGACACCACAAATCCGGGATGATGTCACCTCCGATAGCAAACTAGGACATCTGCTCGGCTGCTCCCCCAGACAGGCGGGAGATAGGTCTCGTTTTTCCATGTGGAAGCGATATAATCAAAAGATGCGGTGTTCGGGTCTGCGTAGAGATCCGCCTTGGATGGGCTTGACCACATGGCGAACGATTTGGAGAAAAATTCAAATCAGTGGCATACTGGCTGCATGTCGAAAGCTTATCAGAGAAGCTCCGGTGGCTAGGAATGAATCCAAGCATTTAATCGGGTGAATATCCGACCTTGACGAAAGTCTTGGAAGAGTCGGAAATTAGGAAATACCATTTCAAAATATTTGTTTCGGATTTCGTGACTGGCGATTCTCTCGGGCCCTATTCAGGGAACAGGAAATCGCTTAAACAAATATTTAGCTGAAAAATCACTCATGGGAGGCAGGATACGGTCGCTTCGCCCGACTTCATCACCGAGGGAATTCGTCTGAATTCGCCGGCTTCTATCCGGTCGATCTCGTTGCCTCGCCGCCCGCCTCTCGGTATCCTGCCTAACACGAGGTTCCCCATCGACGGAAGATTCGAGTGATAGCTTTTGGACAGCAAGACATTTCGGAAGCTCGAGCATGCCGAAGCCCACGAATCGGGGCATATTTTCGAGTCAACCATTCGGGAGGGACAGCTCCCCCCAACTTCGCGGAGTCGACTCTCTGAATGGGACAGTCGTATGCCGATTCATGAATTCCAGCATATGATCATAATATCAGCTCTTGGACTCGAGAAGTTCTGTCATCGCCTTCCGATTGATTCGTTGGTGGAAGTACTGGGAGTTCTCATGTCTCCGGGTGGAAACTTCCCTTCTGGACCCTAATTATGCTTCGAGCGCGAATTCACTACTTGTCAAAATACTTCACGATGGTCAATCGCTGACCCTTCGAGACTTGAATGGTATCCGGGCGATCTTCAATTCTCAGCCATCGTCCGGTAGCCGGCATTGAGTCATTTGAGCTCTTCTTCCTTACCTGGAATGCTCCAAGATATATCCCTCCGGTTTTTTATCCGATCGAGGCTCACTGACCACTTCTCACATGTTTCCACTGAATTGAAAAAAGGAATAATCTCACTACACCGCTCGTGCTTCACAGTTCATCAGCCTTCGCGGTCGACTCCGCGCGGACTGCCGATCGTTGAATTGACGACGTCGCTGTTTTGACGAAATTTCGCCAGGAGGCGCTGGGGTATCGCTACTTGTCAGACGTTTCAGACGGCGTAGCCGAAGATTATTTATCAAAATCTCTGATCGGCTTATCGGACAGCGCTGAAGGAAATCAGGGTCAGACGTGCAGAGGAGGCCCGGGAGGTGCTCTTGCTTTCGACTACCGGAGAGAATCACATGATCTCCGTGACCTTGCTAGTCGTACGCAGAACATCTGTGGCTATTCTATGCTTTACAAGTCACGTAACAGGGCCAGATAATGTGGAGACTCGTTTTTACAAGTGTGCATTCAGGCTCGAATTCGACCTGATTCCATATTTTTCCAGAGTGGCTTCGCCGTCGGCATCGGGAGCGGGAGCACCGTAGTCTACGCAGTACAGCGACTGGGTTCGTAGACCACCGCTTCTGAGAGTTTCCGATAAAGTTCAGTGCCCTCATCCTCAAGACTTTTATGAGCTCAACCCTCGATAATTTTCGGAAAAATTTACAGCTGAACTAATAGAAGCGAAGCAGCTGGAGAATATCAAATGCGTCCCGAGCTCGTTCCAATCCCTGCAGTTGATACGGAAGCACCACCTGCGTCTCACGGATCTCGAAGAAACTCCTGATCTCGATGTTGCAATCGATGGTGCTGACGAAGTTGATGCCGTTCTCACATGCATCAAAGGTAGGGCGTAATCCTTTCCTCGCATGATCGTCGGAAAAACTTCCTGCAGCATATCGCCCACTTCCCTCGGACCATTTTTTTCTCTGATAAACAAATTCGGCTGGAAGTAATCGATCTTCGCCAGGCGGCGGTGGATGCCTCACGCAGGAGAAAATCGTCGCTGCTTCCGCGAAAAATTTCGTCGTGATCGCGGACTACTCCAAACGATCTGAATGTTTGGGTGAAACATGGAAGAAAGGAATCCCAGTTGAAGTTATACCGATGGCGTACGTGCCCGTCACAAAAAAGATCGAACACCTCCTCGGGGTCAAACCTGTCCTGAGGCAAGCCGTGGCCAAAGCCGTAAGTGGCTTTTATATCCCAAATTTGCACCGCTGATCCACATCCGATAGCTCCTCAAATAGCTCATATCGGTCTCTTCTCCCCAGGGACCCGTGGTGACAGACAATGGGAACTTCATCCTGGATTGTCCCTTCGTTCCGGGGAAATTGCTTGACACTTACGCAACAAACATCAGTATAAAAATGATTCCTGGCGTCGTTGAAACAGGGCTCTTCGTCAGAATGGCTCAGAAGGCCTACTTCGGACTGGCGGACGGCTCTACCAAGTCCTTGGAGAGCTCGGAACTTTGAAGTTGACCCGGAAGGTAAGGTCGGGATCTCGTGACAGTTACCTTGTCCATTGCCTTGGAGCAGGCTCGAACTCTCGTGAATAAGAATCGGTGAGCGAAAATAATAAAGGTCGCACATGTGCGTTCATCGAGGAAGAAAAAGCCCCAAGTCTCCCGCCGGAGCATTCGGATGGCGACTTTATGAGTCGATACGGACTCAGCAGTTTCGGTGGTCGCTGCCATCGACTCCTCTGAGCCTGCAGCGACTGCGAGCTCAATTAGATCGCATCGCTTAGAGCGGGGGCGGGCCTCTCACGGCGGAAGGATCGACGAGCACCAATCCTCTAGCTTACAGATTCCAGCGAGGACCCCAGCGACAGGGTCATGGAATCGGCATGGCTCGGTGCCGGTCCTACGTGGTCTCTGAGCAAAGCCCCGCCGCATTCCTGCTCCGAATCTTCATCGGGGGTACCGGCTCGATCCGTGAGAGTAGACTGTCTCTTGAAGCCAATCATTTTCAATGATGACCAGGCTGATTTTCACAGGGATATAGGCACTTTATTTCAATCTAGACATTTACGGCTGCAGCTCCCAGCATCCACGCAGCACCGACAATCAATGTGGCAGCTTTCATCGAGTTTCGGACAGTTTCGAAGAATATGCTGGGGCTCATATTTCGGGCAATATTCTGAAAAGGAGCATGCGATACTGGTTTCTTGGAGAATCACTGGACCATCGAGGATGAATAATGCCCCCAAAGCTCGGTCGCATCTCCGAACTTGACTTCAGCATACTAATCACTCTCTCCGAGCTAAATTTCTAGAATCTCTCACCTTCAATGAAATGCTCGGTATTTTCTCGCGAGCATCTCATTCCAGCGCATTTTGACGGACAACAGAAAGATCCGACATCGATGTAACAGTCAGAGTTCGATGTACATGGTTTCAGAGCTCGATCTTTCGCTATGCCGGGCTCGAGACACGTCATGTAGTCAACGGTCGGGCATAAGCCAAGTTTTACTATAATGGAAGAATGAAGAAACAGAGCTGAATAGGATGCCTGCTCGTCACACTCGAGAACTTTCGAGCAAATGCGTCATGGAATCGGTTCAGGGTATCGAGGAACTCACTTGTCAAAGTCTGCTCGTCGGTGAGAGTGAATCCTTCCTGAGCGTGCGAGAGCCCAATTATGAGCGCCAACGAGAGGATGAACGTCTTCATGGTTCTTGAGCGTCGTCGTATTCTTCGACTTCTCCTTCACGGTGCCCCGGCGACTCTCCTTAAAAGATCACCCACTTCAAAAACTCTGTTTACGGATTCCTCTCTCCGCTTTTCTCGGTATTGAACTCATTGACATGAATGGGGTGTGAATAGTCGGCGGAGAAGCAAAACGACGGTCATGCTCATGCGTCACCAAAAGAGGTCTCCAATGACGAAGTTGCGGCCAATCCTAGAGCTCGACGGCCTTCCCTCGCCGTCGCGCACAGCGTCGATTACACGGAGCGATTACTCGAGTAAATCCCCAGGATCAATTATTCGTCCGTGAGCGAAGTCGAATATTGTTGTTGAGCGAGTCGATGATCGGTTGCGTAGCCTTGCAGGAGTGTACCTATTTGACTATCATAGGGGAGCCGTCAGTCTTCCAGGGCCCTCCGGAGAAGAGTTCCGGAACGGAACGCCCTGCGGGATACTCACGATTGGAAGTTCGTTTTCGGGTGTGTTTTCTTTCACGGAGAAGTACTCACGCGGTACCGATAATGAAATGCGTCAGAGTGATGCTTATGAGCGACCGCGCTCGATAGGAACCGCTCTCTCTCCGGGGAGCGTGGATGACCTTCGTCTGACTCCCATTCCGGAAAATAATGTTCGAGGAAAGCGATTCGAGAGCGCGGTCGGTATTACCTAGCCGAGTGGGGGAACTGGCTTACATCCTAGCTCTCCCTGTCGGTTTCTCTCCAGGTAGCGCTTTGTCTCAGGTCGACTCGCAGCTCATTCGACGGAATCTCTTGGAAGGGCTCCAAATCGACCTTTCGAGCCACTCGATACATTTCCTACCAAGGTTGGGGCTTCCAATGGTACATAGGCTCGATGGATGGACAGCTTGACTCATCTGTCTCAATTGCATCCGAGACACCGAATTCAAGAGAGAGAGAGCGATGAAAAGCGACGAAAGGTGCGCACAGCGTCTGGGGAGCTCACGCCACGCCGCAGCCGGACTCACAAGACGTGGTCCGCACGCACACTGTGCCCCGGAACTGGGAATGCCTTGACCTCTGCTTCTGAGAACGGTTCTTCTTCCGGAGCAGCCAGTCCAAGGAGTTGCGACCCAACAATCGAACGGTCAGAATGCTGGGAAAACGAGCATCATTTCTGAGAGGGATCCCGCGGTATCATACAGGCATAGAGGAGGAACCGGATTTCGTAGGCCCATGACCCGCGGAAATTATACTGGACATGTTCATAGGAGGAAATCGATTGTTCTTCTCGCATCGACAACTCCTTCTGGGGGAGGTTTCGACGGACAATGTTAGAGCTTCCCAGACCTTAGTGAACTTTCAAGCGGATCGAGCGGCCCAAAATGCTCGCTGAAAGAACCCTGAGTCGACCAGGTCGATCGTAGAAGGAACGGTGGATGATGCGTCCTCTCGATCTCCTCGGAGTGCAGACGGTTTAGATACTCCGACACCCCCGAATCGAAAGGAATACATTATTTCTCGGGAGAGATGCCTTGTGAAAGCTTGAATGAAATGAGCTTCGATAGAGAAAATCCCGCTCGTCGAGATTCCGTCCGACGTTAATCAGTCGAGTGGAATAACTCGGTATGATTCAAGATATCATCCTAATCCACCGAACGCAGTCGATCATCTATTTTTAAACAAGGATTTGATGCGGACGTCAGACTTCCGAAGAGTCCTTTCTCAATTATCTGTGTGTGCGTTCGAACGTCGACCTTAAGTGCCGTTCGAAAGATCGCTCTCCGACGCGCTTGATTCTGTCAACTTGGGACAATCATGAGGACTATTTGTTTCGCTCTATTATTCTCACTAGGAGCCCTGACCTCGGCGGATGTACTGAGTTTTCTCGAACCCAGAGAATCGGAAGTGGTGAGTGTTAATCGAAAAAATGTCTTTCGGCTCCGGAATCCGGGTTTCGGAGGCGCAGATGTTCCCTTATGAAGTACCCATACCGTCATTGGAATTGAATATCTGCATCAATCGGAGCTCTTTTCCATGCCAGATCGCTGTAGTTGAAACGCTCGTCAATGAGGAGGAACTCAAGGGAAAACCTCTAGCTGTGGTCTTCGTGACGAACCGTTTTACCGATCCCCATGCCGATGCTGTGTCCCAGCTGTTATCGGGCCGATCACAGCCTGTTTCCGTGTTCATTGCCCCTGAAGGGATACTCAAGGACGTCAAAGGAGGTAGATATCCGCCACATTGTGCTTCCGAACGCACCCAGAAAGAGACTCAACTTCGGAATTCTGTCCTATCCCTCAAGGCACAATACTGGTTTACCGCGATGGGCGCAGAACTTTCTACCACGGTATACGTGACGCCGCCACAATCTTGAATTTCGTCAAGCTCATCGATCAAGCCAGGATGGTGGCGATCACCAATAAGATTGATAAGGTAATTCAAACAGGTGACGCGCGAAAACTCTCGACTCCATGCTTAGGCCGGCTCCCGAGAACGATGGTGGGAATACGTGAAGTGCCGTCCCTCGGTTCCCCGGAGCAGCAGAGAGCTATAATTGCTGTAAATCTTTGAAGATGGCATTCGAGCGCACGAGGGGAACCAAAGTCGTGGGATACTTCGCAGCCGGTGCAAGTGAGCTCACAGTTTTCGAAGAGGCAGCAAAACTTTTCGGAGCCAAGGTAAGAGAACAGAGGGAAGCGAGAAAAATCTTTCATTGCCTCGATCGAGAGCCTGATCGCCGTCGGTTGCAGGTCTCATTTTTCCTGGTCACAGACGCTATCGTCGCGAAGCATTTGAAGCTGAACGCAACGGGACAGGTACGTATGGTGTGGCTAATGGTTCCACAGCATCGGGTCAAAGAGGTACACGGGGCTCATTGAGTGGCTCTGCGAAGTCTCCCGCCGCCAAGTGCCGAGATTTCTACCGCGGAATAAGCCTCGATGGGCGTCCCGGAATGATTGCGGTCCCAGCAAGTTCTGCCTGGAGAGGAGCAAGGTTGGAAATCATTTTTCTCAATTCCAAATGATTGACGACCCGTTATTCCTCTCGTCAGATCAGCCTCGTTCGCCCCTTCGACAAAACGCCGGTTCAGTGTCCTCAGAATCCAGCCACCCTCGCTGACATTCAGCGACTGATTGTGCTAAACAAGGAAACCTTCGTGAAAGTGAGTTGGAGATACGTCGATATTTTTCCATTCATCGCTCGCTGACTTCTCACGGATGGGAATTTCACTTTTCGACTCCTAGGTGACACCGATGAATGCAAGAGATCCTTCGTTCAATAAAAGCCTTTCGCTCGTACTCATCACCGATTCCAGTCCTCTATCATACCATCTCCTGAAATTGGTGTCCAGGAATCACCGTAATGGCACCACGAAAGATCTTCAAACCCTCTGGATAGAGCTCACGGAATTCCCGCTTATGGATCCAAGCATTTCACCCCTACAGGGACTAAGCGCCCTCCCAGGTATGCTTATCCCTGAACTCGAGTCGTGGTCCTCTTTCGAATTCTTGAGCTGACTGAGCGGTGTACTTCTGGAGTGACGTCGAAATTCTGAATCGAGGTCCGGTCTCCGAATGATTTTCAGGTCTAGGATTCTGGGATCCGATCTCCGATTCCTATGAATGGCTCGATCTTGCGACCCTGAACACTGCACCGAACGATCAGATCCAAGAAGATGCGAATCTGCTCGCTATCCAAACCTTCATCGCTTCCCGTTACCGACCCAACGTCCCATCCATAGATCCAGCCCCAGAAACTGCGAAAATTGAACTCTAGTAATCGACTCGATATTACTACTAATGACGGCATTCCACCGATCGGGAAGATTCTCTGTGCGAAGAGAATCGCGAATTCCCATCGCGAGAGTCCAAGATGTCTCTTCCTCGCATGGCTTCTTCCGGTGATCTCGGTGTGCGATTTCCAGCTCAAATAAGAGGGGAAACGGTTTTCGGCAGCTCTCTGCTCGGGGCATCCCAGACAGTCTGCGGATAATAAAATTGGAAAGATCGCCAAGACTTCAGGTATCCTTTCTGTTCCTTTATTGCGCCCCGTTTCGGATGAAACGGTCTATCGCCCAGTGGCCTTCGCATACGACAGACTAAAATGGCAAAAATAACGGTGTACACTCTAAATACATCACTGACTTCCGTAACATCACTGGAATCAGTATGATCAAGTCGTTGTCCAATCTAAACAGGAATCTGAAATATGGCAGCCTGCGAAGAACTCCAATGTTCCATCGGAAGAGCTCATGCTGTGCAAACCGAGAAAAACTCCCATACAGGTGCGCGGAGCGAGCGATTCGCGCTCGACATGTGGAGAAACTGGCGGCGCTCGTGTCGAGTGACTTTCCGATATGTTCCCCTTGAATCGACCTGCCTCATCTCCTCAGTCCCCCATTATATATTGTATACATACATACGCAGTGTAACAACTCACTTCGTCCAATAAGGAAACGGAAAAAACGTAGACTTGTGGAGTCGAGGTATATCTTGACAGTGTCATTCGTGACTATCCATTCGAGCATCGGTCGATTTGGAGGAAACTTCGCCCCATACCGAGGAGCGAATAGCTCCGTTGTCTGGTGGAGGATTTCGCATCTCTCTGCTGGATTTTCAGGAAGGGCTCTCGTATGTTCGAATCTCAGTTGTGACCGCTGAACGTGATTCAGCCTCGGCGTCACATAGTTTCTTAGAGACCCTTGTTGTAGTAGACTGTTTGGACTTTTCCGTCTGTGATCTTTTTCACTTTTTCCTGGAGGTCAGGCTCAAGAGATGATACCGATATCGAAGCTCTTTGAGGGAACAAGGCGCAGCACATCGGCGTAGCAAAAATCAACATGAGACCAGCGAGACCAACCGACATCGGGGCATTCGCCCAAGGGTAACGAATGAAGAAACCTGAGACGGAAAAAAAAGTTTTTTTCTTCCTGTGTAAGAATCATATGAGACGGTTGAGGACGAAAATATATCTTCCTCTGAAACCGTGGGGACTGGCTGAATCGATAGGTCTTACCTTTCTTCTCGAGCGAATTCATGAATACAGGAGGAATGACCATTCCCGGCGACGCCATTCCAATCCGAGAGAGAACAACCATTGAGATGGCCCATTTCGCGGCGGTCGAGGATTCGCCCAGCTCTTGGCCGTCCTCAGAAGTGACAGCAATGCCCTGAGAGCAGATAATTTGGAATATTGTAGTATAATTCACAGACCCGGAGGAATGGTTGAGGCCTCTATTGTCTGAGGATCCTCTGAGAAATAATATTTTCTCCTACTCGATCCTGGTCCCCCTACCTCTTGAATTTCCCGCATTCGCATTAGAGGAATGTTGACGCAGTTGGCAGCCGCTACCGCCGCGAAAGGCACGAATCTGCCGATGAGTGGCGGCATTTTCCTGGTAAGCGAGTTCAAACCGAGAGCCGTCACTAGAGCTCCCGATGTTGCGCATACGTACGAGAAGGCCAATTGCTCCTTAGGGATCGGATTTTTCCCTGATCTATAAGAAAGGTCAATCTCACACTAGGATATCCACGTTGCGTAGCGCATTCGGAGCTCCATATTCTGATTCATTTCCGGTGAATCGCTCCTGCTCCATGTACAGCTCACTAGCAAAGTATTTCACTGAGAATTCATTCTGAATGTGCTTGCCTGTTCGAGTAATTGACGATCGCGTTGAAACTCTGATTTATCCACTGCCAGAAAACGACCTGTGGGGTTGTCTTGTAGAAAGCCATCATGCAGCCGGTGATCATCATATTCATTGGAACTTGAGCTGACATCCGACCAATGAGGATAACCTTCGAAACAAGTTTTCAGATTAGGAATTCGAATCATGGTTCTGTTCCCTTCGATTCGAGAAGTTCGGCAGGCATCAGACTGTGTGTCAGAAGGTTTGAATCGTCCATCACTGAAACAGGGATTCCCACACTCACTTTCTCGCCAGTTTCGGGATGGAAAGCGCTGTCGTAGATATGTTTACATTTCCACAACTCGTCCGGACTGAGTCCATCGATCCGATCTCCTCGTCTGCAAAGATCAAATTACTCGGCTGAGCTCTGTGAAATATTCGATTATGTACTGCGAGTATAGCAAGCCTGCCTGAAAGTGTACAGACCTGTATTTCAGAATGATATCCCTGCTGTGTTCTAGCTCGACGTTTGAGCAGAGTAGATTAAGGGGATTTGTGACAGTGAAGAAATGCTTCGCCCGTCCCCAGTACGTCGTCTGATCCCATCTGGGAGCATCTATGTTTAAACGCTCGCAAGACATGTCGATGCCAAGCGTGAGCGGTTCACAGAGCGGACTCGAGTCCTAGCCGAGGTTCCTCAGCCCCTGAGCGCTCGGTCACAACCTGATCTGGAATGAAAAAGTTTGACTTGTGACTTTTGGGATCGCACTAAATCGGAATGGACTCTCGCCGCCTGGAATTCTCCTGAGTCGACCCCCGTTTCCGATAACCGACTTCGCGCGGAGCCACGCGACGAGCATTGTCGATTCACATCCTTCCCGACCTGGTCGCAGCACCGGAAACGCCCCCGCTCCGTAGGGAGAAACATCTTCAGCCAGCCCACAGAAGGCGCATGAAAACAATTTCTAATATACTGAGATTATTCAATGACCTTCGAGACCCAAGAAGCTCCTTGGAAAAAACAGGCGACCGCCGCCACCGGGAGCTGATAAGCACGGAGATGAACTTCGAAGTGGACCGAGGACGGATAAGATAAAAGAAGCGAATCTCATGGATAAGATATCTCCGCAAGATATCGACCCCTTCAAGGAGAAGAACTCGCCATCCCGAAAGCTCAAGCGGGACATCGATGTTTCTTCCCTTGTCGGGAAGCCTCTCGATATTCACGGTGCCATGCCATCTGAAATCTCATTGAGCTGAGTTTCAAAACTTCACTAGCGAGCTGAAAGTGCTGGCACCTGTTGCCATCTCTGACATCAGCACCTATGAGATACGGCTTACGAGGAGAATCGCCGAGTGAACGTGGAGGGAAACCCTGGTCTGAGAGTCACGGCTTTGTCATCGAGAAGGCTGCGCTTCCGCGCGGGAAAGCACGCGGTCGGACCTTCGCTCGAATCAGCGTCGTTTGGCAGCGACATATGTATGGCTTGAAAAGAGGATGACAGAATACAACGCACCCAAGAGCACCAGAGACGAACAATGTTGGCGTTCGATGGTTTTTTATCGCGCACTATCTTCAAGATACAACGCAGCCAGAACGATTCAGTGGAAGACTCTCTACTTCCGAACCGTGGTCGGGAGCGAACTCCTGCTCAGGTTATCCGCGAAGGCTCGACAGGGGAGCGCGAAAAAATAAGAAGTCGTTGTGTCGAGAATGCGATGACGGTCTCCCGGTCCACGACACCGCAGACCCTCCTCAAGGTCTATGCAAAGTATTTCACTTGTCTTTGGGGCATTCAGAGATCGGCACGCGATCCTTCCCGATCGTTACCTTAGAAGCACAGCGGACGCTAAACTAAATGAATGAAATGGATGAGAGAGCCAGGACAGGACTGTAAATTTTTTCCGAAGCTTGATGGAGACTCTCTGGAGACAGATATCCGGAGAACCCGTTGGACTACGGCTCGGGGTCGACAAAAATGAATTTCGCGCACTGACACTCACCCGGGAAGGTTGGCAGGAATTTTTCGGAAGTCTGCAAGAGCTTGTCGGCGCTCGTATGGCGCCGATCGATAGACAGCAGCGGCTTACGCTAATATTTTAGAGAAAAACTGGTTTACGCTGCTTCTGGCAGGGACAGTCGGCCTGTGAGTGGCAGTGGTGGCACCGTCTCGCGAAATGTCGGCAGTCCATGCACTCTCTCCGAGCGGTTGGCTTCGCTGAGTCCGCTTCGGGCGGATCCTTCGGGAGATCACAGGTGAGCTCGCTCACCGGCCGCGGTAATCCAACGCCGCCTCCTCCGACATCGCGCGGGCAAAACGACGTCAGGATCGTCCGGTCGCTATGCCCTCAGAAGAACAGGAGAGAGGGAAGAACCACGGTCCTCATCGCGCAGAGTAAAGCGCTTGACAGCCGATGGACTCCATAGAGAGCTGGAACGAAGTGTCCTCGCGCGGTATCCAAGTCTGGTTCGAAACAATGAGGGAATATCAGTCGCTTCTGAGTTTTTCAGAAACGCTCTGTGAACTTCTTGCGTGGCGAGGATTTTCCGCGCGAAGTTCCCCTGACAACACAGGTGATGGTGACGAACGCCACTGAGCGAAGCTTCTATGCCGCGCCTTGTTCCCCATCCGACTACTGTGTGTTTACTTCAAGTCGGAGAGAGGCTGCTTGGTGGTTTCAGAGCTCTTGGAGATTCGCGCCTGTTTAGACTATCCGATCGAGCATCTCAAGGCCGACGTGCCGGAGAAGACAACCGTAGAGCTAAGTGAGTACTCATGAATGCTGCCGCTGATCAGAATGACGCTCCGAGATCGTTACTTCCATCTCTCTGTGATTCGTTCACCATGCGAACGGCGAATAACCGTTCCGAGCCCGTGTGAACTGATTTTCCGAGAACGTACATCTCATTTATGTCATCTATCTCCGGTCTGGGCGTATATGGGCACGCTCAAGAACTGGTCTCCCAGCCTGTTCTAAGCACCCATTCGGAAATCCACCGATCCTGAATGGAAATCTCTGAGTGAGACTCAAAAGCTGTGATGAGGAGTAGGTAATTTTTTCCCTCGCCGTCCGTTACTCTCATCAGGGTGAGCCGGGACGATTACGGTCTCTGTCGATTTCGAGCCCGCGTTCGAGTTTTCAGCCAGGGAAGAGACCTGTTTGTGTTTTTTATTCCCCCTAATCCGGCATCCGCGAAACCTTCGGAAGATGTGTCACTATGAAAATGAGCTCAGGTCGCGGAGCCTAGCGTTCGCAAGACCTAATTTGTCAATTGAAGCAATTATAATTACTTTACAGATGGCAACCTTAGAGGATAAACTTCTGGGAGAGAAGCGAGACTACTATTGCAGCTCATCCGAGGATGAAGACGAGGGTGGTGTCAGGCTGGTCAAGGAAGAGGATCTCAACGAAAAACCCGTCAATACAGTTAAATTCGACCGGTCCTCCAATACCGGTCCGAAAGGTTCGTGACTATCTTTGGAGGACTTCCTGAGGCTCTGCGTGAAATCTTCCGGGCTCGTCGGAACCTTTCCGAATTTCAGGTCCCTCTATATGTATTCTTACCCAGAATATTGTATTCGGGTAAGCGAGCTTCGCGAAAGCCAATGATCCTCTCTTGGGCTCCGTTTGCCGGTCCACTAGCTCCCCTACTCTTTCTATTTTTCCTTTTGCTGACTGAGCTACACACCAGGAAACTTGAAAACCCTAGCCGTCTTATCAAGCGAGAACTTTAATTAGGCGGGCTAATGAAATGAGGGCGATGACCCCTATGACTTCTCCGAGGGTTCGCAAAACTTTTTCTGAATCTCATGGTGATGGGTTGCCGAATCCAGGATTCTGGTCTTCGGAATAATCTGGAGTAATTATATGACAGACAGTCCTCCCCATCCTCAGAGAAGATCAGCCGTATAACTTCAAATAGATCCTCGTTGTTTATGGTCCATTTGGATTGCTCCTGATCGTATGATTGAGTATGGATCGAGCTCTCGCTCAGAAAGCGAACGAACTCAACGAGTTCGCATTGTTCCGACGCTCAGACGTTTTAATGCTAACGGCAGCTCCTGCATCTAGGTGTCGTCAAGGACTACCAACGGTACAAGCAGCTGGAAATGGAACGACGGGTCGAAAATGAAGCCGAGCGTCTAGCGCTGATGAAGAAACTTTCGCTCAGCTGTATGACGAACAACGAGGAGGAGGCCCTGAAAAACGAAGATGAGATGGACGAGGAACTCAATGAGGTTCGTGCAGGCTCAACTTCATCGAACGAACGATGAATGATGTCTAGGGAACGAAGTTCCAAAACTAAGCGCGCTTCCCATAGAGCGGTGTTCTAATCTCGGAATGTGAGTTGCAGCTCATGCTTGAGTATATCTCGCTGCGTATGCAAGAAATGGTTTCGGCCGAGCAGGACACTGAAAGACCCAAGTTTGGAAAGCTAGTCATCATTCAGACCAAGGAAGCTTTCTTGGATGCGATCGACCGTGAACACAAAGATACCACGGTTATCATTCATCTTTACACACCTTTCACTCCTGGATGCGACGCGATGAACGCGTGCTTCAATACCCTAGCCGAGGTAAGATGAAACTCTGACAGTTCCTCTCTCGCTAAAATAGTTCGAGCTCATGGTTTTCTCCACCGATCCCTGTCTGTGAGGAGTACGTGAGGGAAGAATCTGAGTCTTCCACGATTTTTCATGAGTTCCGATTCGGCTCTTTTCTTGTTGACCCCGAACGATTTCTATCATTCATGAACGATGGCTCAGAGACTACGGAACCAATGCCTAAATTTCTCACTCTTCAGACCTATCCATTGCACAAATTCTGCGTTATGTCCACTGAAGTGGCCGGAATGACTTCATTCTTCGAAAACAAGGGCGTTCCGGCGATCACGATCTACAGGGGCAAAAATGTCATCGGTAATTTCGTCAGACTCTCGGATGAGTTCGGCGAAGACTTCGTGTCGACCGACGTGGAATCCTTCCTTATCGAACATGGCTTCCTACCGGATCCTTCGACAGTCCCCAAAATGGCACGCGGAAAGCAGGGAAGTCAAGAAGACGAGGAGGACGCTGACGACGATGATGACGATGATTGAGCGGGAAGTCGAAGTGCAAGCAGCCTCGGACCTCTTGATCGAGAGATCTCAAATTCGAACTCCCATCGAGATTGCGTCTGTCGAGAGTGTACCTGGTACAGTCTTTTCATTGATTTGACCCCAGAATATTCCCTTGCACCAGCAGCTCAGTGGATTACACGCCGTAAACGTACATCACCCTGTATTTAAGCGAAACTGTACATCTTGAACGGCTCATTACAGCCTGCAGTTGATCTTCAAAAATGATTGAGTATTTCTCAGCGGGATGCAGAGGTGTTCGCTGATTCGAAGTATTTCCACCTCTAATTCTCGCTCTGAAGGGTGGTCCCCCACAAACTAGTCAATTGAGCACTCTCTGTGCGCACGTGACGCGTTGGAGGGTAGAGGGGGAACCTTAACATGATTGCCCCCTCCCTCCTCCGACATCTGATACCTACTTGGGAGAACCAACTCGTCGTGAAGACGTATCTTTCGAAATCTTTGCGAGAATTGTCGAGTTTCGATTTTCGAGGCTCAAACTGTAAAATACAAAATAAATAAACCTGTAAAGGAATACGAGCGCCACAAAATTTTCGTATTCAATAAACGACCGGTGATAACGGGTCCGACATAGAGCTCCTCCCCGAGCCTATTTGGATATTCAAGAAATTTCGCCCGATATGCGACCTCAGACATGATCCCACACAGAGAGACGCCGCGACACTTCAGGCGATTCCGAGACATTGTCAAAAAAATATGTTTAACGCGCCTTTCTTCGGGAGCGATCGATTCTGCTTTCTTCGATATGTGGTCGTTGTTCGGCCGTCGTCTAACTCAATGAGACTGTTCGTGGAGACTGCAAGAGTCACACTCTTAGACACCCCCCTTGCCGAAGATGGCAACGCCGAACTGATCCCCAGAAGGCTTCCGCGGTGTCAACAGTGGTGACGGCCTGATCCGCCGTCCGGGTGGGTTTCCGACTCTCCAAGAGGGAGCTTTGGTAATCCCCGGAAAGCCCCAAAACTTACACAGTTCCCATAGACCGAATTCGGATGGAGATGGCGAGGTCGCCAAAGGATCTTTCTCTCCCGCAGCATCACTGCAAGCACAGATAGTCTATCAGATAAAAAAAGAAAGTGACCGTCGCCGTGTTTTCCGCTCCAATGGATCCAGGATTTGGGGTGCCAACGCCCCGTCTCCGCTCCGCACGAGTTTCCCGCAACAAGGAGGACCGCAGAAGAAACCGACTCAGGAGAATCATTCATTCGAAAGAAAAAACATCATTCCATCGGAGTTCCGAGCTCCATCGGGAATTTTTCCATCGGTAGGCAGGGATTCCGAGAATATTCTGGCGGATTCCGGGAAAGGCCCCGGAAAAAAGCCATATCGGGTCGTGGATTCCCACACTGTATCACCACATTGCGCAAGGGGTGGCGAGAAATTTGCTCGACAGCCGCGGTTTCTCCTGCCCACTCAGAGGTTTTTGCAATGCGATTCCAACTTCAATCAGCGCAGGATGCAGTCGCTGTGCTAATCGCCGGGGGCTATCTCGTCATCAACATGAATGAATGCCATGACGCGTCGATGCTGGAATCTCAAGCGATTTATTCAACTTAGTAGACGGACGCGACTCGCATACGCTACCGAGACAATCAGCGAACAAAGTAATTCACTTGAATCGCTGGAGGCAAATCTCTGGTCGGATGGAAATACCCACCCTTTCACCGGCGACGCTTGGTCAAGGCGAGGCGTGGGATGGGCCCGATTGCCGTGACAGACAGTGTATTCAACAAAATAATGATGATCCGAAGCGCGTTCCAGCGCAGGGTGCCGATTGTCTTCCGTATTAGTCTCTCGATTATGCGTGTACGGGGGACAAAACATTGGGTCGTATTTCTGTCGCTTTGAATATTTTCCCTGTTGGAATTTTCCACCGAATGATGCCGTATAATTATACATAGATCCATCAATAAGACGGGGGCGAAGTCTGCAGTCCTATGAATGGAGCTGTCACCGAGAACAAAGGAATGCTTGAATCGAAACTCGTCGTATTTCAAGCTCTACTGTCGTGAATATTCAATTTAATTTCCGCGACACATCCGAGACGGACCAGCATCCACATCACGCGAACAATTTCGTTCTGACCTGGCGAGTGGTGACTCAGAATTCGATACAAACCGCTGCGGCTCCATACCGTTGGCTCTGTTTGGGCGATCGCTCGGTTCTCCGATCAAACAGGATTTCCCAAAGTTTCGCAAAGGGCACTTCGAAGTCCGCGAGGCTTGTTTATCGTGGACGTGACCACCAAGGGATTTTCGCTCGCGAAGAACTTCGTTAGTACCGACCTCATTAAGGTTTGTATTGTTGTACTGCGCTCCAGTCGCCGGCCGACCAACATCACCGGAGGCGTTGATGGATACTGCGACCGAGTCGGATCACTATTGTCGCGTCAACGCTCTTCCGAGTATCAGCAGGGAAATTTGAACGGGCTCAATTCGTCTGATTCCTCCCCGTGATGCGTTCTCCAGGCACGTGTCATTGAAAAATCATCTGATTCGCTTCACTCCTCAGGAGAAACAGAATTCAGTAGTGAATGGGTTTTCGTTCGAGCGGCGGATAATATTAATCATTCCCGTCGACTTGGTGATCAATAGCATGATAAATTTACGAAATTCGCCGATGTTGGAAATCTTTTAACATAACTAGGATACGAAGCTCCGCCCATATGATGGAATATTGTGTTGACGTATGAGCTACATGATTCGTGGATTCCGATCACCGATGGCTGTGACTTCTAGAAACGAATTTATGTGCCCATGGGAAGTATGATCCCATGGCACTAAAATACTGGTCCGCCAGCGGCTACGTCTCGGGATATGATTTATTGATGTGCTCACGGGAAATTGTGCGTGAGCCTGGATGTGTGCGTTCTCGCCACATCCGTCCGATCGATCGTGTCTGATGTCAATCTGGGCTTTGATTTCCCGCGGTACGCGACAGAAAGCAACCCTTTCCCGCGGGAACTATATAACCGGCTATACAAGCGCGATGGTCACAAAGACATCATGACTGCCTTCGTAAGTTCATGGCATGCGAAATTTTATGCAAAACATGTGACAGCGACTCGTGTCAGAAAGACGCTCTTCTGCTTTGTGTAGAGGAAGCTTGTGCATAACGGAAAAGTTCCTCGTTTCCAGCGAACGTCTCTGGCTCTTGCCTGTGTATCCGCCACAGCATTCGCTGGCGAGTACTACGGCGGAGTTGGACATGGCTCACTGTACGGCTATGGAATCGGTGGCATGTCCTACGGACGAGGTTACGGAAGTCTACCGTCGCCGGACTACGAAGCAGCCGCGCTGAGCAAATCCCAAAAAATCCACGGATACGACAATGATGCAGCATACCAGCCCAGCTTGGGTCACCGCGAACTCAAAAGCTTCGTCCTTCCTCCATCGGTCGGGCTCACGAAGGGATACGGTATCGGCCATGATCTCGGACCACACGCCAGAGGACATGGTGGAACATACGGTGGAGGATACGGCGGGAAATATGGTGGAAGTCACGGTGGAGGATACGGCGCAGGATACGGCGGAGGATACGGTGGAGGATACGGTGGAGGACACGGTGGCGGATACAGTGGAGGATACAGTGGAGGATACGGTGAAGGATACAGTGGAGGATACGGTGAAGGATACGGTGGAGGATACGATGGGGGATACGGTGGAGGATACGGTGCCGGATACGCCGTCGGTTACGGCAAAGCTCTCAGCGCTCCTATCTCGGGCGGCTCGATTGCTTTCGGCAAAGGATACGGCGATCTCTCGCACAGCGGAGGATACGGCAGCCCAGCTGGACACTCTGGGAAAGGTTTTGCCACATTACCTATTGTCAGGGATTCCGGAAGAGTGGGTCTGGGAAACGCGTACGGCGGGTCTAGTGGTCTGGACTACGATCACCGGGACGCGGGAGACGACTACCGTGGCATTGGGCTTGGACACGCTTTCCAAGGCAACCACAAGCTCGCAGACTACAGCAGAGGTCTGAACGCTCCACTCACTATTCAGAAAAACTTCGCTGCCTATGGAAATGAGTTGGGATTCGGGAGTCGCAGACCTTTCCTGGGAGCCGAACCTGCCCACTACGGTGAGAACTGAACAGAAGCTGTTGCCGACAGCGGATACTATGTGTTCCAGGCAGTGTCATAGAACCACCGTGACGAATGTTCTCAATATTTTCCAGCAGCCAGTCACGGCGCTCCTGTCTATTCTGGAATCGTGAAAGCTGGAGTTCCGGTCTCTCTCGCGCGAAAGTTGTAAAGGAGAACCAAAGAAGAACGACTCATTTGTACACAAGATCCAAGAGTTAATTATTGGATAATTCGTGAGAGAAGATGTATATACTGACGCCCATGTTAATAAAGCAACACGAAGTCGAATAAGATTGGTTGTACAATTCAGCTGGTCGAGTCTCTCGGCTGGAGCTCCTCGACAGCTTCACTTTCGGTCGGAGACCGAGAAGGAGACTCCGCAGCTCACGCTGTCTTCTTCGATTTTGGAGTTCGCGAAAAAAGATTCCGATTTCGTCACCTCACGGATGGTTCCTGATTGATGAAATTGGACGGACCTCACCGATAGATAACAGAACGATTTCTTTCGGTTGGGAAGAGTCAATAAAGTCTGCGTCCGTTTCGGAGCAAGGTCTAGCCGTGTCTTCCGGTCGATTTTTCCAAATTGAAAGCTCCGCTGAGAGAGGCCGATACATGGCCTCGCTCAGTTGGTCAGCTCCGACAGCCTGTGCAGCGAAGCCACATTCTAGCATGAACTCAGATCGCCTTCGACTCCATCATCGTCATGATCTCGGCCGTGAGGCGAACCTATAAATGATTTTATCCCCAAGGCTCAGGATGCAGTTGGCTGTCATCTGGACAGAATATCTTTCGAAACTCGATCCGACATCCTAAATTCTGAACTTCTGAAATTCTGAATTATTCGTAAAATCGAGACGTCTACACCTGCGCCGGGCGAGCGTGACACCGAATCGCTAGCTTCGAGCTCCTTGACCCCGCCGCACCGATAACCCCAGGAGTGGGGTTAAGGGAAGGGACTCGAAGTCGCAAGTTTTCGGAGCAGAGCGTCCGCTAAAAACGATCGGGAGACCACATTGACCGATGAGGCCAGTACCTAAAAACGGTGTTCTTCCCTGAGTGAAACGCGAGAAGCCCGTGAGAGCCTTCCGCGACAATTATCCGGATGATTAACAATCAGAGAGAACTGGTAGGATTTCGTCTCCGCATTCTCCCCATCGAGAACATTTCTGATTACCTTCCTTTGCGCGTGACGGTCACTCTCATAATCCGATATCTGATCCCTCTGCATGCCAGTTGCCTGGAGCACGTGGAAGTTGAAATTATAAAAAGTCCAATACGGATATCTTTGAATCCGAGGGTTCCGGACTCGAAGGAGAAGCAGGGGATTGAAAGACAAAATCACAAAAACTTCGATCTGCATTCCGACGCGCCCGCCCTGAGCTTTGCATCGAAGAGATTTCATCATCGCGGAATTCCTTGCCCTGCGTGTCTGGCCGAGCCACACGAGTAGATTCCTATCCGAGAGCGCCCGAAGATGGGAGGCCATAAATAGCAAAGTTGATATCCGTCTTTATGAGGAGAGGAGTCCTCGCGATGCGAGCACACAATGAACTGGCGAGCCTATGATTTGAATTTCGAACTACAATAGCCCGCGAGCTGTCCCATAGCTTTATGCAGAGGCGAGGAATTCGGTGGAGAGGAGAACTCGCCGAAGGGTCTAGGAGGGCCAGCTACCGCGGGCCGTACGCGTACAAAGAAGTCTGAGATTCTCAGATTCCCCTCCGAGACTTGAGAGGATATGCAGCTTGTCCGAGATTGACTGAGGAGCAGGAAGAGCGAGACGAACCTCCCATACGTATCAGTGCAACCTTTTCGCAGAATACTCTCGTCATTCTGTAGCGCACGAACTCGTTCGATCGAGCATTCGATCCGGAAATCCAGCGAGGGGATGCACTCGTTCCAGTCAGCGCTCTCCGATCAATCGGATGCGCTCATTCAGCACGTGAAGTATGCGCTCCTCGAATGAGCCCCTGTCGTCCGCGGTGAATCATAATTGATCATGATAATTATTAATAATGATAATATGATAGCTGCTCAGCGGAGAGTTATCACACTCGCCCTTCCCCGCATTCCTACCTCTTGAGATTCCGGACCGGCGCATTCGAACTGAAGTGATTTTTCGGTTATTTACGGGGAAGGGTCGATTACCCCAATTATCATGCAGTAACGTCGCCAGGGGCGTAAATGAAGGGGGGAGGGGGTGGCTGAAGGCCGACGATTACACTCCGGACGGGGCTATAGGCCTCTCCCAGATGATACCCTCGTTCGCCACCTTTGATTTCAGCCCAACGCGAAGACCCGATCTAGGTTTCCCCAAGAAAGATCCTGCGTACGCCACTGATCGTCGCCGTGGATGAAACGAGACCCCGACACAAGCTCAAACGGAAGAGAGAAGGTTCGCCGACACGTTTCTGGAGCACCCCATTCTGCGAGACGCCAGATCTCGGATATACCAGCCATGGATCTCGGCTCCGGAGCAAAACTCCGGATGCAGAATCGGAGCGCTTGGACCTCCCCGAGTTCGCGTTGTTGGAGCTCTTGACAGCGAGCATGGGATGTATTAAGGGTCGCATACCGCAAGGGAGGAGCTCCATTTCGACAGAGACGAGAACCTTCGGAGGAATCCGCCTTATCGACGTGGTCGGTATCGACCTGGTGCATCCACAGCAATCGTAGGGAATCGAATGCTCGTACGTGACGGGAGCACTTGAAGTCATAGAGACTAAGAGTGTCAGGGTGTCAACCGTAGCGACGAGTAGATCTCCCTTGAGATTGTACGGGGATCAATTTGTTTGTCGACTCAGGAATTAGTCTCTCGCGTGTGCCGACGTTGATCTGCGGTGAAACTCTGTCACGTGCGCGACTCTGGGATCTCTCTTGAGTTACATACTCCTTTTGACTCTGGTGGATATAGCTACACACTCGAAGTAATTCTCGGAGCTGCGTCCTCTAGATCAGAGGATCCCCTCAGGGGATGAGTCCTCTCGTTCGCACGAAGTCCATCGAGCGCTATCGAAAACGAAACTCGGCAATGAGATCGGCGACTCGATCGGCCCGTTCCGTCCATCCTTTGCGATGTTCGCGATCGTGATCCGTAGAATTTCTATGAGAAAGTTCGCGAGGACTCGCGGACGAACAACAGGAGCGCTGGTTTCCACTTCGGATGGCGCGGAGTCGACGACAATCACTGCGGTCGACTTCAGTGATCTCCGAGTAATTCCGATTTCGCTCTCGGGACTCGACCGGTTCGCTCGAGGAGAACATTATGGCGGCAATTTGAAACGAGATTTGTTCCTCTGAGCAACGATTGCGGCCCGGCTCAGCACTTTTACGCTCGAGAAGAAGCCAAAATTACTGACAGCTGCTGGCAACGGAAGAACGCTGACCTCAAACCTCGAACGGCGAAAACGACGACGTTGGTGGGGACCGAACAACTCCAACCAGCGGAAGCTTCAAATTCTGAAAAGGAACTGAACACCTTCCTTGTCAAACACAATTTCCCGCGTCGCCTTCTACGTCTGTTTCTGACGTGGCGGAGGCGATGCCGCGGAAATTGGGAGAAACTGAACTGATTTCGAATCTTCGCGAGCGGAACGCTTCGTCCACGTCAAGTCCCATCTGAGGTTACGTTGCGACGCTGGAAATCAGAATGGAATACTGTAGTCGGAGGAAGCTCCAAAGATCAGTCGAAACATTTCCCCTCTCCACATCGCCCACCTTCCCAGGGGCTCGAGACAGAAAAAGTCTCACTGATTCTGGGCTACCCCCGTACGCATCCCATCCCCTGCGAAGCAAGTCTTCCACTTCCGAGCGAAGGTTCAACTTGAGCGGAAAGCGTCCGCGAACGTAGAGCAGAAATTTACCGGTCCGGAGCGCTCCGCCTTGGCGGGGAAAAACACAAACAATCGACGAGCAGCAGAGAGAATATTGGTTTTACAGGATTTGGACAAAATCTCGTTGATCGATTCGAAATTGCATTCCTGCTCCCTGGTGGAATCCAATTTGGAAAATACGCGGGGAACGTTCGAACTTTTAATGGTTTCAAAGCAACGGTCGAGAGAGGACAAATCACCAAGTCGTACATCGAGGCCAGAGTGGGAGATCACTGCCTGAAGTATCGCGAGTCTCCACATCGTTTATCAAAGCGAGAAATATTCCGGTCGATCGATCCATCCGTCACTCAATTGGGGATTGCCGGAAGACTCGCGAAAGGTCGCCTGGATCTTCCCCAGAGTCTAACATCGATATGAAGACCCGTGTAGGGCTCGTCGAACACACCTCTTCCTCCAATCCGCTCGATCAGTAGAGCCTGGAAGACGAGCACCGCATTTTGAAACAAAGACCATTACAGCTGATGGCGTGTCGCAATCGTTGGCTGCTCCAGCCGCCTGCCGTCTTCTGCGAGGTCCAGGTGGTGTCGACGAGAGCTGCTATTCCATTAGCGTTAATTGTCGCCTCCGACCCGCTGCGAAACCGCCAGATACTTTGCCTGCCTGCCTGTCCGCCTGTTTGTCTGGCGCGCCCGAACTCTCGCCGAACGCTGTCGAACGAGGGACCGCTTCTCCAGCGACGGAACCACAACAGCGTCGGTCGCTTTCCGTTGATGTGCGAAAAAAGAGAGTGAGGGCATACGCGGCGCCTCGGCACAGTAAAGTGCCTTTGTTTCTCGAAAGCCCGTCCTTCCTCCTCTCGGCACAGTTCCCTTTCGCGACGTCGCTTGTATCATACACTACCTCCCCCAGTTTGGCCACAACGGAATGGGAGCAATTTCGCTCTCGAATGCCTTCTGAATGGATCGTCGGAGGGCATTCGAGAACCGTGACATTGTTTCAACTCTAATTCACCATTCCTGCGGGCCCTCGTCCCATGGAATTCAGATGCGCCGCTCGTCGCAATGACGTCCGTCCTTGAGTTTCAGAAAGGAACCAATCAGTGATTGGTACAGCATCTCGGTGCGCGCTGCCTCAGAAGCCACTCAAGCTTCCTTTTGGAGCCTTCTCGAAGCCT